CGGGGGATTACATTCAGAGTCACTGTCCTTTTGGATGAATGGATAACAACATTAAAGGAAATGAAAACTTATGTACACTTTAAAAATATTTTTTAATACGTCTCTTTTCTTTTTATTTTTTAAAAAGGTCGGTCTGGCATGTGGAAAACAGAACCGTCATTTACAAAACATACTGATAAGATCCTACATTCAGATAGTTTTCAAAAATATTTTTTAATACGTCTCTTTTCTTTTTATTTTTTAAAAAGGTCGGTCTGGCATGTGGAAAACAGAACCGTCATTTACAAAACATACTGATAAGATCCTACATTCAGATAGTTTTCAATTCAAAGGGCAGGTGATCTGATCCCCCTACATTTTTTACAGGTCAACTTTGGGGCGGGGGGAGCACCAGTTAATATAGAATGATTGTATACAAAGTTCCATATTGTCACTTATTTCTGAATAAAGTTTGTATCAAGTTGTACTGTACTTGGATTTATCTCAACATACAGTTCATTCTTCAACCAAGTTTATGCAGTATTTCTCAAGTAAGCAGCTTTAGATCAGATATTTCAAAAACAGCTATTTTTTTATACTGAGCTTTCATTTCTGTGTGTGTACATGCATTCTAATAAGCAACTATAGTATCTCAGAAAACAATGTTTTTTTATCTAAGTGTTTTTTTCCAAATTTTCAATACTATTGTCTGAAATGTATAATCAAGGTGTTCCCTTGATTATAATTAAAAGGTGCAAAATGTGAGGTTATCACATTTTAAGATGAAGAATTTTTACTTAACCATTTACAGATGCTTAAACTGAACTCATAAAAAAGTACTGGAAGAGCAAAAACACTGCTTACAGACCAAACTTCTCTGCTGTTTGACATTTACAGAAGACACAATTGTGGATGTGTCATTTATTTTTCACATTGTGATCCTCAAGCGAACCAGTCATTTCTCCAAATCAAATGCTTGTTATGGAAAACAAGATAAGTGCCTTTCATTTAAAGACACTTTTGTGCTTTCATTTATCACTGAAACACCATGTCCTATTTTGTCGTGTTTTTTATGACTCCTTCAGCGTGCTCTTTCTCTCCCTCTGACCTCAAAGCTCTTAGCATTATCTGACTGTTTCTGTAGTGATTTTTTATTATTGTTTTGTGACAAAGACCCTTAATTTAGTATCCACTGAAACTCTGCCCCACAACTACATTTAATGTGTTGGGCTTTTTCTCCCAAATGCTTGTAAATGTAATGTTTTCCCTACACTATTTGGTATAATAGCAGCATATACTCTTATTTAAAAATAAGCCCTGTGGAAAGAAGCTACTCATTTTTAATTCAGAAAACTTGTTTAGTAAAAATTCACTAACTTCAAATAACAGCCTAATGAAACAGAACTTGACACATGACTGACTAAACTTTCTCAGGCCTTTCTAATGAGAGATAGACTGTTGCTCTAAGATTCCCCAAACTCAGTTTACACTTACATATAGTTGAAATGTAGGAATTGATCTGACACCCAAATACCTAATAATATCCTATATTAATAAAGGAACAGATAAGTAAACTTATTTTGTTATTTGAAAATATAGGGGGCAAAAGAGGTAACTTTATGGGGTTAATTAATTAATTAATAACTGGCTGTAGATTTAAAACTAATCCCAACTTCAGTTGTACTTTTCCTTACTACTGATGATCCTATTAACTTGCCATCCCATTCTGCTGTTTTTAAGCAGATCCTTGAATGGTCATGCTTTTATTATTTCTCTAATTTTTTTCCAAAAAATTGTTGAAAAATTGTTCCAGGATTTTGTCAGGGTTAAATATCAACTGGCTATGCAATCAGTATCATTTGTAACCAGTTTCTTCATGAAATTTGTGAAATCATACAATCATTCTGTAGGTGAACATGTACAGGGTGGATAATACAAGAAGAAATCTTATGGAGGAACCCTCATGTTCATCTGTAATTCAGTGAGGGAGACTCAATGAACTTGAACATACTCTCATGTCCTCTTTAACAGCCTTATGTTTTGATGATGGGCATTCAGTGGGCTTACCAGACAAATTAGAATCCTCTAAAAAAATAATAATAATTAAGAGACAGTGCCATTATTGCAAGTTAGGTGCTAATGGCATTGTTTTCTCTCCTGTCCCAGCACTAAAATTATTTGTTTTTTAACAACTACCAACTTGCAAAATATTACTTTTGAGAGTAGAATTCCTACCCACCGTACAAATCACTTTTATGCTTTGATATATAAATATACAATAAGGGCAATGATGCTTTATGGAAAGAGAAGAAGTAATGTGTGCTAGATACTAGCAATGGGTTTAAGCATAAAGGAGGAAGAGCTTTTCCCCTACAGACACTGCTTTTGGTTGAGAACCAGCTAGATTTGTCTGGGAAAGGCAAAGCCAACTTCACTGGCTTGCACTGAGGAAACTTTGTTTAAAGAAGGGGAATGATTGCCCCTTCTTTAAACAAAGGGCAATCATTCCACGAGCCAAAAAAGGATGCCAGTGTGGTTCTAAGAAGCTATACATGGACCGGGGTTGAGAACCCACCCTTCCCTCAGGCCTTCCAATAAGGACTGCCATGTATTTACTGCCTCTCACTTGTTATAAAAGTAAGTATCCAAAATTATTTAAATTCATACTTACCTGCTATCAGAATACATGTGGACTGGAAATAGCAATCCTTCTCTCTGTGAACCTTCAATCTTGAGCTACTGAGATTTCAGTAAGAGTAATGAGGAGTTTCTGTGCTCCAGGCTGGCCACTGGCTACCTCACTAGGAAATACTATCACAGCTTCTGGTGCAGACTGAGAATTTACCTGGGCAATAATCTTAAAGGTTTTGACATCTGACTAATTATTAATTCTCAATTATTTATCTTTTGGGCTGCATTAGTCAGGTGACCATTTGGCTCCTGCCTACAGCTTAGCTCTTCCAGCTTGTCTAATTCAAGGGAAAGATTAGAAATCCTGTAAACAGAGATCTACTTCAGTTTCTTCAAATCCTGCAAAGTGGCAAAGGTAAAAACTGAGCTGCAAACCTCATTGGCCATGTAGTCTCTGCAGCTGCTGTGACATATTGGACTTCCAGTGCATCACAACTGCAGTAGACCATCAAGATAGGTGCTCACTCCTGTTTATTTCATGATTCCCTTAGTGTTCCACCACATGAATCTGTACTCTGCCAATTTATCATCTTTACCTTCTGCTTTCATAGACTGATTGCACAAGGTAGGACCTGAATCTGGTAATCAGAATTAGGCAGGCACCATCATATTCACTGTAAAGAGACAATTCACTTCTCTATAAGGTGAAGCGTTCTGCGGCAAATTATCACGGTTCCTTCACCACCCCTCAGCAAATTGTTGGATCTTTTTAATGCTCCAGGCTGCTCACTGTGTTTATGAGATTCTAGTGGAAGCCTACCAAGCAAACATCTTCTCAGACTGTATAGTACCTTCATGGCTTATAAGACTATTTCAGAGCTAACACATTCCAAACTCCAAATGACAACTGACTGAGAAAGTGACACATGTACTGATTGCTTCTGGAAGTGGCACATTCATCTTGCAACAAATGTATGAACATTCTACCATATCTGTGCAACAATCTTACTCCTGGCTATTTGGGGACTAATCCTGTTTGCTGGGGATGGGGGGTGCCTTCAAGTCAGTCTTGATTCCTGGCGACTGCTTAGAGAAGTCCCTGCAATTTTCTTGGCAAGGTTTTTCAGAAGTGGCTTGCCATTGCCTTCTTCTTCCTAGGGCTGAGAGAGAGTGACTGGCCCAAGGTCACCCAACTGGCTTTTTCCCCTAAGGTGGGACTAGAATTCACTGTCTCCTGGTTTCCGGACTGATGCCCTAACCACTACACCAACTGGCTCTCTCAATCCTGGTATAGTGGGACTTGAAAAAATTATGCTCAGTGCAGTGAACCTGGAGGCTACAGATTGGAGCAAAGTTTGGCAATCTTTTGAGGCCAGCAAACACATTTAGAATTTTGGGAGACTGCTAAGGATACTTTTACATAAGGATGGCATGGCTGCCCTTACAAAGTATGGCCATTCACAAAGTTCAAACTTCAAAGTATCAGTGATGTAACTCACTCCCTACCGGTCTCCCCAAGGAATGCAGTTTACCACTCCAGTTTATATTTGCCTTTTTTTCCTGACTTTGTGAGTAAAACATGGCTTCATCCCAGCGTTATATGATTTTCTAATGTTATGGGGCCAGAGTCATTTTTATAAATAAAGATAATACTGGAAGCTATACTTTGCTTTGCAGGATGGCAGCTTCTTACATTTTTTTCAGAAATAATAATAGTCCGTAGGAAGCAAGTAGGAAGCAAGTAGGAAGCAGGCACACTGATACCTAGAAGCATGACAGTGCCTATTCCTGGGACAGAAAGCCTTCTCCCTTTCTAAATTCTGAAGTGGAGGCTGTCATGAATATGCAGATGGGAAGGGGAATGCATACCCTTTATTTATATAAAACTACATTCTATTATCTATGCAATGACTGTCTGAAACTACAATATTTTAATGTACATATCTATAAACAGAGTTGCATTAAGCATCAGGAGGCTCTGCATAACCGGTTTTGTCTTTATTGAGACTCTTTAGATGCAGGTAGCCAGATGTTATTTTATGGGGTTCAACCCTCTATCGGGAATCAAACTCACGTGGTGGGATAACATCTGGCTACCTGTATCTAAAGAGTCCCAATAAGGAAGAAACTGGTCATGTGATGCCTCCTGATGGCCAATATAACTGAAAGTACCACACAGGATATACATTGTGTAAAAATAGAGAAATTCCTCCTACCTCTAAGAGGAAGTCATACATGGGGGCGTGATATAATGTAACACCTATATCTTTCTTCTTTGAGGTGGACCACATATAAAGTGGACTATATATACCATTCTGACAGAGCTGCTAAAATCATAGCTCAATTTAATATTCTTAGACAATACTTACAAAAGCTCAACTGACGGCTTTCACTGAATTCTGCATATTGTGCTGAGTCCATCACTCGTGCTTGTCTTTCTGCTCTCTGAAAAATGATATAAATATTTATTATTCACCCCCAGAATTAGTATATGCATACTACACCCAAAAAGATCCTCAAAACCATAGATCTGAGATAATTTTCAATACCAAAAATACTTGTGTTATCTCACATTAATACAACTCTATACTATCTTTCCTCCATGAATCATAGGGGATGCAATATACATATACGTATATACATACACATATAAATCCCTTCCAGCCTTCATTTTAATTTTTTTACTCCATCAGCTATGATCATGTTATAACATTGTAAAAGGATATGACACCTGACTGGATCAGCCTAGCTTAACTATAATCTTATCAGTATGTTATACATGTGATTTGTTTATTATATCAGCAAAATGATAAAAATGGGATACCTGGAGAAACAGCTACACTGAATCTATATATTGCTCTGCTATTCATTTATCGGCTCATTATTGTTATTTTTCAACATAAAAAACAGTTCTCTTTGCCTAAATTTTCTTTCTATAGTCTGAAACAAAGCAAGAAAACAGAACAGTGCTGGAATGAAGGATAAAATAATATGGGACTATCTTAAAAGTAGGACATGGAGTCATCACAACAAATTAATGAAAAAATATTCATTTTGCTATATATATTAGGCTTTCAGTGTCTTACAAACTCCCCCCCCCCACCATAGCTAGTGCTGTTTCCCACTTTAATTTATTCTTTTTATTCTCATTCTACTCAACATTATTTGCTTATACTGCCAGCCAGCTTAAATCAATATACATGGTTCCTTTTTGTAGATGCTATGACATTACCCTTTCAGATACAACTTCATGAATTTGGCCTCAAAATTATGCAAATTATTGTATTTATTAACTATAGAAGTTAATACTGTTAACCAGATTAAACTAGGCCAATAAAGGAGCAAGAAGAAAGAAAATGTTGATCAGAAGAACATTGCCAGACATGTCACAGAACAGCTAATTTACCAATGAGACAGGGGTTTTGAACATGAAATGAGTAACCTCAACTCAATGCTAACTGGAGTCCACTTGTTTAAGATCAACAATGATGACAGATAATAATAATGAAAGATTAGTCTGATGTTCATTAAAACTTGGCAGAAATCCTATAACTTTGAAAGGACAAACTAGAATCTGTTAGTTTTGCTTCATTTTGTTCCTAGAGAAAAAAGACAGAAATAAGCTATATTATAAAGTGTGTACTTAGTGGCAGTATTTATTTATTCTGAGCTCCTAAATCAATAATTTATGTAGCACAGAGTGCAGGAAAATATTTTAAATGCCTTTCATAGTTCATAATGGATAATGCAATTAATAAACATTGGCACTTTTGTGGTAAATTTAGCAATCAAAAAAGTGAACTTTATTATATTTTATATTAATACCAGACACTGAAAATAGCAATCATATAAAGGCCTAAAAAAGACTGTGATTCTACCTGGAATCTTTCTTCTTGATACGTTGTAGGTGAGCAACAAAAACTAGGGATGACTTAATTAAATTCAGTGTTTAGTGAAGATATGCTAATAAATTGCTTACTTGTACACATTAAATAGAAACACTTTCTCTTCCCCTCAGTCAAACTGTTAATCAGGAAACCACTAGCTTATTTGTGCATCAGCAATATACTAAAATCAGAAAATAAAATATAAATTACATAAATGTTTAAACTAAAAACCTTAAAACTAACAATTTAAAACCCACCTAATAAAATATGTCCCCAACAACAAATAAGAGAAGAATACAACAGATTAAATTCAGTAACTAATAAACCTCAAAAGCTTCTCTGGGGGGAAAAAAAAATTCTTTGTCCACCAACTCCAGCTGAGTGATCACAAATGAAGCCACTTTAGGGCAGGAGGTTGGAGACGAGAAGGCTCTTTTTCTATGGCCCATCAAACATGCCTCTGACTTTGGCAAGATAAAGAGAAGGATCTTTCCAAAGAAGACCTGCCCCATCATATCTACAGCACAGTTTCCTAATTTCAAATACTCCTTCACGATATAAACACAGGGAAGCACTGCTGTCATATATTCCTAACGGTCAATCAATAAAATTCCTTTTACCCAGGATGATCATCCTCTTCTACTGAGCTTGTAATTTTAGGAAACCATGAGGAACTATGTGGACAATTAACCAGTCTGAGGATGGTGATTGACAGGGAGTTAAAATTAGGTTGCCCTCACATGAAGGTAAATGAAGAGTCCTGCCAATTTTAAAATAGAATAACGTAAGGTGTTCAGACTAATTATACAAGCAGGCGTGTACATGTCATCTACATCAAAACCTTTTTCATAAATTAGAAAATGGGTGCTCATTTACTATAGAATCTTGTTCATGTCTTTACTATAACATGTTAAAAAGAAAAGTAAAAGCTGGCACACAAATCCAAAGAGCTGCCAGAAACAGAAGCATTGACTAATGCTTTCTACAGGTAGTCCTCACTTAACAAACCTAATTGGGACCCATTGCTAAGTGAAGCAATCATTAACAGAAACATCACACGCTGTTGTTAAATGAATCCTGTGGGTCACTAAGTGAGGACTCACCCTGATCCAAGCCATTCCCACCTTGGTCCCACCCAGCCACAAGCCTCAGTTTTTCCAAGACAAAAAACTGCCTCCCCTTCAACTCCCCTCACCCACCTATCTCCCCCCATATATCTGTCCTTTTAGCCACCCTACACAGCATGAAGAGGCCACTGTATTATCCTGCCACTGCCCCCAGCAGACTTTCCTTCCTGTCTTCCTAGGCACAATCATCCTGTTCTTCCTCCCCTCTACTGGGCTCGCCACTGCCACCAAGCAGTGCTGCCTCAAGCCTCATGGTGCGGCAAGCAGCCCCAAAGTTGCAGTGCACCAAGAAGCTCCCAAGCCATGGTGTGCCAAGAAGCCCTGAGCCACAGTGTGCCAAGAAGCCCCCGAGGTGCATGGCAAGCAGTCCAGAACACGTGGCTCTAGGGCTGCTTGCTCTGCCATGGCAACAGGGCTTCTTGGCATGCCACAGCTTGGGTGCTTCTTGCCCCAAGCACTCCCTGAGCCATGGTGCAGCAAGCAGCCCCCAAGCCGTGGCACGGCAAGAAGCTCCTGCTTAGGAGCCCACCTCCTCCTACGCCCATTGGTGACTTACCAAATGAGAAGCACCCATCTTGCCCATGACTCCTCTGCTGCAGGAGCAGTGTTGCAAGAGCCATGCCTCCTAGAGTGGCCCTCATGTCCTGGCCTGGCATCACTGGCCTGCAGGACATTTCAATGGCACCTCCCCACACATGGCCAGGATGGTGAGCCCAGTGGAGGGGAGGCAGGCAAAGATGACGAATAAGGTCAGCTGGGAGGGCAGTGGGGAGGAAGCAGTCGAAAATGTGGGTGGGCTCAAATTTTTATCATGTGACCATGGGGGGCGCTGTGATGGTCATATGTTCAAGGACTAGTCGCAAGTCCATTTTTTCAGCACCATAGTAACGGTCACTGAACAAATGTACGTTAAGCAAGGATTGTAGATTTTCACATTTGTATTTGAAGTAGCTATTTCAGCTTTTAACATGAGGCCAAGGGAACAGAGCAGGACAACCCATTCTCCTGCCCTAACTTTTCTATCAGATAAGAATGTGCACAAGCCAGAAGAAATAGAAATTCAATCTCAAAGAGAA